ATAAAAAATCTTTTAAAAAAAGATGTGGTTCATAAACACAATGGAATACTATTCCACCATAAAAAGAATGAAACCTTAGTGTTTGCATCAACATGGACAGACCTAGAGTATTATGCTAAGTATGTCAGACAAATACCATGTTTCACATATATGTGGAATCTAAAAGGCAAAATAAAATAAACTCATAGATAAATTAATGGTTGCCAAATGGGTGGAAGGTTGGGAGGTGGGTGAAAAAGGTGAAGGGATTAAGAAGTACAAATTGTCAGTTATAAAAAGTCACGGGCAATTCCCCAATAAAATCTTTAAAAAAAAAAAAGTCACCGGGATGTAAAGTACAGCATAGGAAACGTTAATAATTTAACTACATACGGTGACAAGTACTAGACTTTTGGGGGTGATCATTTGGTAAGGTTATGTGAATGTCTAATCACTATGTTGTACACCTAAAACTAATGTAATATTGTATGTCACTTGTAACTGAAAAATAAATAATTAAAAAAAAACAACTTTCCAAGGAGAAGCAGGGTGGGGGCCCCAAGCTAAGCAGACTGCCGCAGGTGGCATGTCACTAACCCCCAGCCAAAGAACATCCTTCCTTGAGCTCCGAACTTTCTGCCACAAGCCACAGGCCCAGTTCTCATGTTCTAACAGGCTGCTTAGAAACCCACCTTCAGTCCCAAGGCTGGCTCTGGGCTGGGACAGCAGTCTCGAGCTAGTTGACACGTGTCTGAAATAGCATGGCCGAAGCTGCCTTCCATTTAAACAAGGGTAGCATTTCTCCACGACTCAAAGGCTTTGTGGTGCCAACCAAAGGAACATGTATCATTGATGGTTGTCTATTTTTCTAACACAGTTCACTAGCAACTTCATGGATGTTACTGCTTAGGACAGTGGTTCTCAAAGCACCACGTCATCACACGGGACCTCATTAGACATGCATATTCCTGAGCCGCAGGCCTGCAGTATCAAAATCAGAAAGACACAGACGTCGTAAAAGCTCTGAACACAGGGAACAAGGGTCTAAGGCAGCAGTTCTCAGCCTTCCTAATGCCGCGACCCCTTAATACAGTTCATGTTGTGGTGACCCCCAACCATAAAATTATTTTCGTTGCTACTATAGAACTGTAATTTTGCTACTGTTATGAATCGTAATGTAAATATCTTTTTGTTTTCCGATGGTCTTAGGCGACCCCTGTGAAAGGGTCGTTCGACCCCCAAACGGGTCGCAACCCACAGGTTGAGAACCGCTGGTCTAAGGTTTCATGGCCTCCAAAATGAGAAGGGATCACACTTCAAAGATGTGAAATGAACGGCTTCAGTTCTGCACAGATTGGTGGACCAAAGGCAGGGAAGGCCCGTTAGGCAGCCGCAGGCCTCAGTGGGCCTCAGACTTCATCCCTCCCGCCAACCACAGCTGGGATGGATGCAGGCTCTTGTTCTCATGGAATCTGTCTGCACTTTTTCTTGGGGCAAGACTTGGAAGTGGACCGGGATCTGTGTTCCAAGGCCGAGAGTCCTGGAGCTGGATGGGAGGAGGAAGAGGGCCCGAGGAACAAGACTCAACGCCTGCAACAGGGAACCAGCCACCCTGAGTGGCGGGACTGGAAGGGCCAGCCAGGAGCAGAGGCTTCTGAGGATGTCGGCTGCAAGAACAGAAGGCATTTATGTACTGAGCACGCACAGCACTGGGCACTCTGAGAAGCTGCCTACATGTCCTGTCTTAACCTTGTCAGATAAGTTATTTTCCAACTTACAGGTAGGGAAATGAAGGCAGAGGTGAAATCATTTGTCTGAGGTCTCAGCAGAGTCAGGACTGACCCGCTGGCCTCCAGAGCAGTTCTCGGCTCACGCGCTGTCCTGTCCGGCACACTGCCTGGCTCTCAGGCCTCCAACCAGCTCTTGTTTTGACTCCTCTGCTAGCCAGAAACACTGGCCCGCATACATGACAGCATCCTGGTCCTTCACGTGGTCATCTATTTACATGTGCTGTTTGCCGCATAGAAGTCTCATCCGCGTGGAAGCCACACTGCTCCCTCAGGCAAGGCCTTGGAACAATATTACTTGGCCAAAGGGAACAAGGACAAAGGTTGTGAAACCACCTCAGAAGGAGCTGGGCCAGGTCCGGAGCCACTCAGGCTTTGGGGCTCTCAGAGGACAGACATGCCAACAAATTTCTAGGCCCTAACTTCCCAAGCTCATACAAAGTGGCCCCACGTCAGTGTGGTCCTGGGCTGGAGGAGGTCTGAGTGGTTCGTTTTCTTAGCCTTCAATCATGTTTACATGGCTCTTGTCCATGAATTCAAGGAGCCGATCACACAGGAAAAGAACTTAGTGCCGCCTGCACCCTGCCAAGCTCCAGGTGGTTGGGCGCACATTCTCGCAGCTCAGCTAGACAATGTTTAGGCCATCACACGTTCACTGCTCCCGCAACTGAGTGAACTGCACGTGAAACGGGGTGGGCAAAGTAAGGTTTGCATTTGGATGGAGGGCTTGGAGGTAACTTCTACGTTTTTCACAATTTACTTTTAAATTAAAAAATCATTTTTAGTGGGGTGGGAAAAAAAATCAATTTTAAAATTACGACCCAAAGGCTGTGTTACTGTTATTGCAGGACTAGTGGGTGTTTCCATCGAAGTAGGTTTTAATGAATATTTTTGAAAGACTGTACAAAGGAAATATTTTTTAAATATTAAACTTGGGTTATTAAGCACCTATTAAGCAAAACAGCACAAACTTCCTAAATTATTTTTCTGCTAATAAAAACGGGGGTGACATTTAAAGTACAAGGAAGTCTGATTAGAATATGGGGTTTTAAAAATTACTTTCACATGTATATTCTATACAGAGTGACAAATTCCAAGAAAATAACTGCTTTCAGGAATCGTCTTCCATCCTCTCCTCTGAGTTAACCATTGCCTCTTAAAAGAATATACGTACATTCTTTTAAAAGCCTAATTAAGAAAATTGGCTAACATCCCTGTGAATCCAGTAATGTGTAAGTGCTTCAGACATTTATAGATTTAGGAATTTCAAGGAAGTTTGGTGGTGGTGGTGGTTTGTTTTTTGTCTGTTTTTAAGGGCACACAGCATTTATGCACTTAAAACAAAGACGGTGGTGATGGGTGTTGTTCGAGTTGAGTTCCATGCAGACAGACAAAAGGCTGCCCACCGCCATCCCTGGCTTTATGTCCTGGGTGTCACATTCTGCTCAGCTCTTACACAGCAGGCGGCAGCATCCTGCTTCTTGAGAATGGCCGATTTCTTTTCCCGTGATCACACCCATCCCAGATTCCCTCCTATCTCTAACAGACCTTGGGATCCAGGCCAAGGCGGCTATCACTGGGCATTCGCCCTGCAAAGCCACACGTATCCATCAGCTCAGTGATCTGTGGAAGGAAACCTAGATTCAGAGTGACACTTTTTTCTAAGAGCAGTTCACATTCCTCTGGCTGAAGAAAGCCTTTAAAAATCAAAGAAAAAACCCAGGGAAATCATCTTCACTCACTAAAATCTCCGTGTGATAAGAGGAACTTGACAATGTCGGCATACCCCCTATGGGGTGATGGAGTCCCAAGCTTGTCTATGCCAAGCCCTCTTCCTTTGGGGATCAGTGTTCCACAAATCCGGACACCCAGCCTTATTGTGGCTGACTCAGCATCTTTTTCAGACCTGCTTCTCAGGTGCCTTCCTGTCTGCTGCTCTGCCTACAGTCTGAAAACCAGGACTGCATATATTGTCTCAATGGCAGAAGTGCCTAGTTTGGGCTCAAAGGTTCTTGCAGCTTTTAGAGAGATCACATTGGGATAAAACTTAGTGTAGACCCTTGGCTCCCGGGCAGCTCTCGCAAAGCCTATTGAGACAGAGCTACTAGAGAGTAAGTGGGTCCTCAGAGGACAGCTACAGGGCCTCCCCACAGGCTCCAGGCAAGGCTGGTCTGAAAGTTTACTCAGAGCATTCAAGGACATCCCATCTGGACATTTTTCCAACACAGCCAAGGTGTATCGCCTTCAAAAAACCTCCTATCAAAGAATCCTGGAAATCCTTCCCGACAACATCCCTGATTGATGTTAAATGGAAATGTCCCCTTTTGGAGTGCTGTGAGAGACAACTGGAAACAGCCCACTAGAAGTTCTGAATTACTTCTACGTCTATGTCCCACCGCTGGTGAACACACTGAGGCAGAGAGGGCAGGAGAGCTGGGGGAGGCGGGACACGGTCAGCAGACATCGAAGGACATGGCAGGAGTGGCAGGTGGCAGGTGGAGGGGGTGGTTGGCAAGGCTGGGAGACTGGCTACAATCTCCACATTGGAGAAAGTACTAGAAACAGAAGGGGGAAGTGTGTGAAGAACCCGGAGATGCTGGAAATATCAGTATAAACGGCAGCTTTTACATACATATACAAGCGGTGTGTGCACATACTAACACACACGTACATATATACACACTCGCACTTTTCTGTCTGCTCTGAGGGCCTAGAAACCACTCCAGTAGCAGTGAGCGCTCAGAGCACCCCACCTTGGTTTCTAAGTGCTATCTGTCACTAGAGGGGACCAGGGCTCCGTGGGGAAATGCCTGCATCTAGGGCTGTGGACGTCCCTGCGGTGTTGAGCCCTGTCCACTCCGCATTTTCCTGTAGCCTGGTCACTTCCGGTTACCCTGGCAGTGCAATCACAGGCTGGTTTTACAGTGAACCACCCTTATGAGCACCTCCTAAAACTGAAAGGAAACACCAGCCCCTGCAGCAGGCTGGAATGCAGCGCCTCACCTTCACCTTCACTCCTCCAAGTGCGAGCGGCTGGTGCTAGCGCCTGAGGAAGTGGAGGCGCGCAGTGCTGGGAAGTCGCTGGGTCCTCTCTCTGGGTGGCAATGTCAGCGTGCGAGACATCTCCTTCACCTGGTGCCCACACGCCTCTGGCAGCGATGCCCCCCCACACCGTGCTTCCATGCCCTCACTCACATCTTCCCTTACTTCAGTTACTGCTCAACAGGACCAAAATTCATTAGTAGCTGTTTATTGATCAATGGTTTGATATAAAGTTATTTCAGATCTTCAGAATTTTGCCCAAATAGAATCAAGCATTACAAAGTTTTTTCTTAAAAAAGGGTAGGGGGCAAGTTGGGTGGGGACCCAACCTAGCAGTAGTGGCATTTGAGAATAAATTAACAAAAAAAATTTAGTATTACCATTTATTGGTGACAAATACTAAGTTTTACTTACATTCCATAAGGAGAAAAAATGGCGGCGTAAACAATGAATCGAAGCAGTACTTAACTCGCGAGGCTACCGTGCTTTTCATCCGGACCACACGCAGGACCTCACTGCACACACTTCTGTGCACAGCAGCAAAACACCAAAAGCAACAGGTGTAGAGAGAAACATGGGTCATTCTCTTCAGCCCTACATGGAGGTGTAACCAGCTTAAAGCACTCAAGGAGAGTCAATCTGCACTTCCGTGTTTTCTAGGTACTCCATGGAGATCACAACCTGTAGTGTGGGGAAAGCTACGTCCTCAAGAGCCTTATGCATATACACACAATTTTTTCAATAATCTTTAAAACAAAGATCAAAGTTCATTTTTTTAAGTCCTGTTGCATTAACAAAAATGAAATAGAAAAGGAACCAAATGATCATTTAAAGTTTAAAATTCTGAAATCGTCCAATTTATACAACTGTGGGGAGACTTCATCAAGGTTTCTGAGAAGTCCAGGACTGTTTCAGCTAAACCAGAGGGCACACAATTTGCATCACTGAAATGGTCCTGGGTTAGTCCAAGAAAATAAAAATGTATAACCACATACACATGGATATGATCTCTGCCGGTTAGATTATTGATAAAGTCAGTCTCAGAAAAGTTTCTAAACTGCTATGTAACTAGATACAATTGAGAAACGCTCAAATGAAAATGTATATAGTGTCATTTCAATCAAAAGAAAATAATGAAACTAAGAATACATCTCTCTTTTGGAAGAGAAAGCAGTGGTGATGGTGTGGGGACCGCGGGAGGTGGTGGGCCGTGGCACACTAGACAGGTTAGCTCACGCTGACGAGGAAGCATTGGATTTTTCTCTGCTGCTTTCAGCTTTAGGGCCGGCTGGTCTAAGGCCTCTCTCCAGCATGGGTGGGTGTCCAGGGTTTGTCCCAAAGTGTTTGAGTGAGCCAGTTTGGGGGGGGGGGGTGTCATACTTTCTGTTTTCTGTTTCTTCTTTCACACAGAAAAACAAAACAAAAAAGCCCAAAACCAAGCACTGAGGTGCCCAGGGCATGGACCTGCTGGTTTCCTAATTGAGCCAGGACTGCTTGGCAGGCCTCACCCACCCCCGCAGCAGCTGCTGCCATGTGGGGACAAACCAGAGCACACGCGAGCAGTCACAGTCGCTTCTGTGGATCCCACTTTCGTCACCACTGCTGTCTCCAGTTCTTTACCCATCATGTCTTCTCGGCCCACGGGAGGTATCAGAAATTCCAAATTTTCAAAGCAGTTTCAGTATTTTCAGTATATGTTGGGGTTTTTATAATGGTTCATGGCCAGAAGAAGAGGTTCAGCACCTCCCACACCTTTGAGGAAATAAAAATAAAAATGGCATCATTTTTCAAATTTAAGAGAATTACGCCCATGCTAAAAATTAAAAATTAGCAGACACTCGGGAAGAGCGCAATGATGGTGCCAAGTTGGGCCAGTGAAGCAACGTCCTCCACAACTAGACTGAAGAACAAAACGACAGCAACTTGTCTGTTCCCCTTCCCCCAATTCCCCAGCANCTTGTCTGTTCCCCTTCCCCCAATTCCCCAGCACTGTTCCCATCCCCCCAATTCCCCAATAAAAATCTTAAAAAAAAAAAAAATTAGCAGACACTGAGAAGTTCAATAGCACAGGTCCCAATTTATGATAATTGGATTACAAAGTTTTCACAGGGTACACTGTCAAGTGAAAAAAAACAAGGAGAATGTGTGGATAGTATGTTATCTTTTGCGGGGTGGGGGGAGAGAAAATAAGGAAAGAAATTTTTATATTTGCATAAAGCAACATAGGAAGGATACATAAGAAACTAACAAAAATGCGACCTCTGGGTGGGGGGGGAGGATGAGATGGACGGGAACTGCATGAGGGCATGATTTATCACAAAATAATTTTGATTTCAGAATCATATAAATATATTACCTTTTCAAAATTTAATTTAAAAGAAAGAAAAAAGTGGAGCTCTCTGCCCCAAACCTGGAAACCTTTCCGGGGAAAGGGACAGAAAGAGACTGAGGCGAGTCTCACTGCCGAGCTGGGCAGACAGCTCGAGCTTCATGCAGACGAGGAACAGAACTGCCCTTCCATGAAAATCAGCTCACTCACACAGACATTGGTCCATTTCCTGTCCTTGGCATCTCTGTATTTTGTTGGTCCAACTCAGACAGCAACTTTAAAATGTTCAGTGCAGCCTAGCAGGGGATGAAAAGAAAAGTCACACCACAGCCACTGCTTGGGCCCACACGTAAGACGCTGATGAGCAAAGGGGGGGGGGGGGTTTCTACTGCCCGGCAAAGCAGGTGGTCCCACCAAGTAATCCTTTTCTTTCATGTTTGAATTTTTAAAATAAAGACATAAATTATCTATGGTTATCTCATCAAATCATAACCTCTGTTAATTTTATTATGTATTTCCTTCTAGTATTTTTAACCCTGTGGCAGCTGGACTGCACAAATTGTATATCCTACTTTTAAACAAAAGCCTGTCATTTTCCTTGTTAGAATACACTATCTTCAGGACATTCATTTAATGGATGCATTATATTCCATCAGATGAATATACCACAGTTTAGGTAGATTAAGTTAATCAATTCCTTTCCAGTTTTAGTACTTCTTACAACGATAATTTCATCTGAACAGAATATGAAAATAAGAGGCTTTCTAAAGCCACCAGACCTTGGGCCTGCAGTTGCTTCTGGTAAGAGGGGAGCTGAATGACATCTGAAGGCGTCCAGGATCCGGGTACCCCCACCCGACCGCCCCCGTCAACGAGGGCAAGGGAAGGAAGGCTTGACTAAAGCTGATGAGTCTGATAAACACAATGAGGAATCAATCCAGTAAACTAAGAAAAAAGTCTTCAAAGTCTGAAATCTATCAAACAGTGGCGTCTGTGGGGGACCCTGCACCCATGTGCCTGAGGCCAGCAGCAGGCCCAGGCGCCAGGCCCACGGTCGGGACGCACCATGTCATGGCAGGACTCCACATCCTTCCCGATACCGTGGCTGATGAGAGGCGGCTGAGAGGAGCAATTGATGAGAGATACAAATTCGTTCTTGTTGTTTTTGGGGAAGTCTTTGTATTCGACCTAAGGGGGAAAAGAAAACTGAGGCAAGGGCAGGGAAGCGGTGCATGCACAGGCACAGGCCGCGGCTTTGACCCAGCACAGGGGAGGACACCCCTCTCCCTGGTCTCAGCCTGACATGGCCACAGCAACTGTCGGAGGGGCCTGCATGCAGACCAAGGCTGCAGCTTCCAAAATCTTCCAGGAGCTTAGATGGCTACTTAAAAACTCTGGTCTGACAGAAGCCATGTCCTTTCCTAGCAGGCAGAAAAGGGCCAGCACAATGAACCTGTTCTCAGTGAAATCTGAATTTATAACCACCATTAGATCACAGGCTTTGTTATTAGGGTTAGCTTGGATTTTTCAACTTTATTACCAAAGCTCAAGGATCTTCTCTTACCATACAGGCTTGCAATCCTTTCCATACCTCCCTCCCTTCCTGAGACAACCCTTTCACCATGCTTCCCTCACCCATGCCCCTAGACCAGGGCTCCGCAAACTGCGGCGCGCGAGCCACATGCGGCTCTTCTGGCGCGTTCCGTCTCAAAAGTTTGCCGACCCCTGGAAAAACCAACCCTGTCCCTCACAACAATTTAAAAATTATTTGAGAGCCATAAATATATTTTTACATAGTCACCATTATGTGAATATCCTTTAAAAATTTTATAAATAAAACTATGAGAGTTTTATTTTCATTTTCGATTTTACTTCAGAGCCTGTGGCTCATGAGCTGCAGTTTGCTGACCCCTGGCGGCTCTTCTGTCTCAAAAGTTTGCTGACCCCTGCCCTAGACAAAGACCTTGATTTAAAAAATAAGTTGCAAACCATTTTCTGAGACAAACCCAAAGATGACTGCGCTGAAGCCCAGACCACACCGCTCAGGCCAGTTACCTGGAATCCCTGGACTCTGGAGAGATAGTCCAGCTGCTCAGAGGGTCTTGTGAGAGGTCCGTGGGGGACGTGGCCTGAAGAGATGTTATTCTTTAAAATGGTCTCGGCCGTGGGCGAGGTGCCCCCATACAACAATTCACGGGCTATCATGGCAGTTACCGTGGCCTTGGCAGGGTTTGGAGCTGCCCTGGTGAAATCTTTGGTGTGATGTCCTTGACTGACTCCTACGGCCTGAGCAACCTCGGGCACCATGGGAAGAATTCCAGCAGGCAGCTGCTGATGACTAAGATAAGGCATCCTAAATTCATCCTCTTTATTGCCTGAGGAGGGACACGCAGACAAATCAAGACAAGTCCACACACACTGCCTGCCTGGAAAGACGTGATAAAACCCCACACCGGCCCTCCCTCGGTGCCCTCAGGGGCACAGGAATGGTGTGCAGCCAAACATCGCAGTCAGCATTCATTCCCTGGGCCCCTGCTAGTACCAGGAACCAAACAAATCCCAGAATCCCATTCAGATCAAGACAATATTAATATCACACTTACTAGTCCCGTTTTCATCCCCCGAGCCAGGTTCAAAAAAGGTTACTTTTCTTCCATCCCCTGGTTTCTTTATGGGTGTCTTAAAAGAAAAAAAGGGCCATGAGTATAACTCAAATTGTTGAAAAAGTAGTTCCTGCTGTCTAAAAAAACTTCAAACTCCAACCAGCATTAATCTTCGGTTTTTACACTTCTGAACTCCGAGAAGGCAGTCGGCAGAGAGCCCTGCCCCCCGCCTGGCCGCCCAGCAGGCCCAGTGGCAGAGCAGAACCCCCGCCCACACCAGCCTGTCCACAAGGAGCAGCTGACGAAACGCACTGAAGGCTGAGCCCCACTCTGCACTCACACGAAGCGAGGGGAACATTAAATCAGAAGGAGCCCATAGAGAGCGGACCGGTGGAGCCCCAGGTGGGGAAGGAAGCGCTCAGATTGAAGCTAAACAAAGAACAGTTTTCTGGAGCTGATATCCAATTAAAAGATAGGGTGACATTCCCAGGGACAACAAACTTTGAGGGAATGCTACTCGATCAAACTTCCGTCAAACATAAAGTCTCCCTTCTGAGAAAGGAAGGACGACTATGAATGCTCTATTAAGATGCTGGAATGAAAAACCCAAAGCCAGGTCTAGGATCTGCGCAGACTCTCTGATGAGCGCCTGGGGTCCCTGTTATTAAGTGTGTGGCCCCAGCAGATCCAACTGGCAGAGGCGACTGAATCAGTCCTGGGTGGTTTCAAGTTTATCCCAACAGGACCATTCAGTGACTAGAAAAAAGGTCAGTCAAGGCTTTTGGGAGGGCACTGCTTACCAGTCCTGGCAGAAGTAAAATTTTCAATATGGGATTATTTCTAGCATGTTGCGTTTATAAAGAAAAAGAAATCTCAAATCTAAACTATGAATTTGGCCCTGACTCTAAAATCACACTGTCTCAGAGTCCCAGAAAAACCAAAGCCCGCTCCACAACTAACAAAAGCCTAAGTTGATGACTCTTTTGTGCAGGCCTCATTCTAAGAGTGCAAATGATGGACTCAGACATTCATTACCTTCAAGCCCAATTACCCTTCATCCCAAATGGAGAGGAGCAAGCTGTCCTCCGGCCAAGTGTCCCAGATCAGAAATACTGAAATGGCTACAACTCAACCCAGAACCATGCTTGTAGCCATGGACATGCAACTCCCCTTCTGACCACATTATAATGCTCCAAATGGATGAGAGGCTGCTCAGCAGGGCTGTTTTACAGCCAAGAGGATGGCCCTGAGGCTCGGCCCAAGGGGCCTGAGTCCCCCAGGATGAGGGGAGAAGGTCATCTTGCAATCAGAGCACGGACAGAGGCCCGAGCACTCACCTTCTCCTCTGATTTGAGGGCTGGTTTGGTGGGCTGAGACTGCGGGACTTTAAAGCCAAGGATCTCCAGCATGTTCTCGGCCGCATTGCGTTTGGCCACCTTCTTATTGGTGCCCGTTCCTTCTGCAGTATGGTTTCCCACCTTCACCTGCAAAAAGAAGGCAGGACTCAGAGCAGAGCTTATACCTTCAGAGGAAAGACCAGTCAGGGACTGGTGTGCTGGCAGAAGGCCACGGCCAAGGTCAGAAGCTAGGCAGCTTAGCAGTGGTGCGCAGGGCTGCCCTGCACCAGCCTGTGAGAGCGGATAGGTACATATTCAAGAATTGGGCAAGCTGGTTGTTAAACAGTAAGTGGCATAAGCTTAGAGTTAAATAAATAATTTTAACAAACAGAGGTGATGAATACTTAAAACTCGTCAATTCCTAATGCAACTCCGTTTTACAATTATCTGTGCTTTTGAAGTTTGTTACCCCTGTTGTATTTGCTGGTAGAAGTATTAGTAATTACGTGCTGCTACACTTCTCTTCCCACCTCCATGACCAGGTGCCACTTTGAGGGCTTGAAAACAGCCATGGTGGATACACCACAGGATTCTGCCAATACCAGAAAGCAAGAGTTACACTGTTTTGTTGGCTTGTCTATTCTAAACTTAAGTGATATAGAAAAGGTTAATAATTCAGCGTAAGCTTAAAGCATGTCAAGTCTTAACCTGGACATGGTAACAAGTACAAAAACTGAATTCTTCCCGTCTTCGAAATTTTCTGATTCAGCAGAAAGGTCATTCATGTTGTTTACAAATAAGTGAAGTTCCGACAAGTCTTTGCTGTTTTACTTTCATCTTACTTGTTAATGTAAACAAAAATACGAACCAATACTCATGCTAGAGCTTCACTCATTTGTTAATGACATAAGCAACCTGGAGAGTAATAAAGCATTTATGTACTGTCTGATTTTACACCATTGTCAGTGACAGTCACACTGAAGTTACAGATGTATGAAATGTACAATAAAGAGGATTATACATGTACTATACATTATTCACAAATTGCCTTTCTATCAGTGCAGTGTACATCTACGTATGTCTGTAGGTATGTGTATAGATCTTCTCACACACACGCTCCCCTCCCACCACACTACCCCCTCCTAAGAGTTGCTTGGTAAACAAATTCCAACACATACCACTGCTTACAATCCCCTTCCAAGCTGGTCTTGACCACAGACCAAAACCAAAAGCCCCCAGTCACGAAACTGAGAGTCAAGGAAACCTTCCCTGGCCTGCGAGGAGGGGTCTGGGGTTGAATCCTGACCTGGCCATCTACCAGCCACGTGACCCTGAGCGCATGACTGATGCTCTCAGCGTCTCGGAACGGACGGATCGCTGCTCTTCCTGCCTCCTGACTTGGAAGGTGCAACATATCAGGCTAAGTGATGATGCTCTAAGTTGTAAACTGCCGTCCAAGAGTTAAATATTCTGGTTTTCACCAGAAAATACTTTTAAATTCAAATCACAACTTAAGCTGCCCATGTGAATAGATGTTTAATAAACTAAGTATGAGGAGAAACCCTCTGTACTAATCTGAAGTGTCCCCAATCTGAGAAACAGCCAACCTGGAGTCCATATTCTACAGGAGGATTTAGAAGCAACAGGATGAGATCCTTTGATAGAACTCATAAAATGTATCTTCTGAAAAGAATACAAACCTTCAAGTAGATGTAGTGAAAAAGAAAATTCACCGACAATCCCACCATCCCAGTGCTCTTCTAAACTGGTGCACTGTCCGGGCTCCTACCTGTTGATACAGCAGCACCTGTGCTGAGCACCCATGGACACGCTCTAAGGCATCAAGTTACCGCAAGCCACACGGTCCCACTATCAGTAACGTTGGTGGCAGGAGCAGCCCTCTGGGCCGACGCACTGGACCGGGCTTCAGGAAGGCATCAGCCCCTTGGTCTCGTCAGGCTCTGAGACGGAGGAGCCAGAGAAGGGCCGCCCGTCACCCACACAGACCCACCTGCATCACAAACTCCCTGCGGCGTGGAAGGCCGCGCTCGGTGAGAAGCATGTACTCCGGTTCCTTCTCCTTCTTCGCCTGTTGGATCTGGGCCAGTCTGCTAATTGGGTTCATCACCTGGCCATACTCTGGGCCGCTCTGCACCTGAGGAACAAGCAATGTAGAAAACATGTGCCATGTCAGTCACAGAAAGGACCCTGCCAGTTGTATTGATCCAATGGCTCAGAATTAACCTGATCTTTCAAAATCCTTTTTTAGTTGAAAAATGCTTATGATGGTTCTGAGGTGATTTTAAGGTCCTCTTAGCAAAGCAACATTTCACTATGAGTAGGCAAGCATCATTGTAATGTGTGCTTTTTAACAAGAAATTTCAACACAAGACAATGAATGAAGAGGTAGAAAATATATAGAACCCTATTCCTAACACTTCTCAAAAGTCTGTATTATAAAATGGGTTCCCAGCTTTCTTAACAATGATTCAAAATCTACATACCATTAAGAAAATATTCAAAAAAATATTCACGCTGACACCACATGGAAAGAAGAACCTAAGAACCCATCGTGGCCAGCCTCAACACCAACGAATCCTCACTCACTCTGGTAAGGACTGCTTCCCAGGATTTGTTAAGCGAATAAAGGAAACCGCAAAGGATGCTAACTTTTATACGTACAGTATGCTAATTCATGTGTAAGAAAAACTTGGATCTTGATATAGCATGACACTATATTGACAATCCTGACATTCATAAACGTCCCCAAATGGACTCCTGCCCCTTTTTGGGGATGGAGTAGTATAATTTTTGATAGATCCATTAGCTCAAGAATCCAAATGAATGGGAAGGTGTACAGTGAAGACTCACTCCTCCGCCTGCCCCTGGACAACCTTCCTGCTACGAATGTCCTTCACATTTGGAACAGCGCAGTGGTTGGTAAGATGGAGGAGACACAGTTAACCACTCCCAGCAGACAGATGCTATAGCTGTGATTGCAGGGCTGGGAGGACACACTCATCCAGACATGTGTGCACGCTTGTGTGTGTGTGCGCACGCACATGCCTACAGGTGCCCCCACTATACCTGGCTTAGTGTCCTTATCTGCCTAACCTGCGGCTCCCTAGAGAACCACACAAGTGGCCCCTGTAAAGGGTCTCCTAGGCCTGGTGTGTGCACGTTAGCTCCCATCCCCTTTCACTGGGGTCGGCAACCAGTCTTCTGAGCTCTCCGATCATTCATGGGCAATGAAAACACCCTCTTCATTTGGGAAGTTTCTTACCCTGACTATGGGTTTTGTTTTCTTTTTGATTCTGGGCTTCACCCGCTCAACTGTAGGCAGGGGTGGTAACTTCTTCAGCTCCTCAAGAACAGCTATAGCAGCATTTTTCTTTGAAATCTTCTTGCTCTTCCCTTCACCTTCCCCCACAAACTCCCCAACCGACACCCTGGTCACAAAGCTCTTCATGTGGGGTGGGCCACTCTCCCGGGCGACCTGTTTTAGAGGGAAAGACTGAGTGAAAGCATGATAGACACTTATTACGAGCTGTAGGGCACACTGGTAAGCATGCTACTTCACACAAAAACACTCATAAAGGGGGGCGAAGGTCAAAACCCATTAAATGAAGGGAGTGTAAATGTCAGCATAAGGAAACAGTGATAATGCTGAATACTTTTTCTTCCCTCTACGCATATTTTTCAAACTTGTTGAAGCTCTTGGCTCTAATGAGTCCCAAACAGTGAGCCGTGGAATAAGAGAAGATTTTCTACTGCCACCCTCCCATCAGGATGGCTTACATCTCCCCCGGGTCACAGACTGTACTGAGTGTAGGGTTATCCACTGCAGATGGCAGAAAGGAAGCTGGCCCAGCAAAGCCCAGAAATAATTAAGGCACAAAGAGTTCAAGTTTAATATTTGCTCTGAGCCTTCAGCCAAGATTGACCTTATTAAACACTGGCTGCTATGCAGCTGTAAAAAAGAATGAAAAAAAATCTCTAAATGCCAAGAGTGAGTAACAAAAAGCAAACTGCAGAAGAGTATATATGGTACCCTAACTTTTGTGTTGAAAAAGGGTTTTTACATATATGTATACATATATAGACATGTGTATCTATATGCTTATTTTCACAAAAAGGAACACAAGAAGGATAAAGCAGAAACAAATGGAATTAGTTCCCTGCAACATGTGAGAGGGACTGGGGAAAAGGGGGCGAGGTGACACTTCTGGATATATCTTTTTGTACTGTTTTGATTTTTGGAACCATTTAGTGTTTTACATATTTAAAATATAACAGTCAATAAAGATGGGGAAAACACTAAAATGAATATGAACAGAAACCTAAATGTGTATTAAAGTGATTACATACTCATACAGAAGGAAAATAAAAATAAAATCCTACCTACACAAGCCCAGACATTCTTGGAAAGAACTAAGAGGACTTGCACTACCAGATTCCAAGACTTCCTATAAAGTTACGGCACCTACGACACCACAGCTTTGTGGAAGGATAAACACAGGGATAATAGCACAGAGAGAATGCAGAAATGGACCTGCACGTATACAGTCTCCCGATTTTTAGCAAACACACCAAAACAAATCTAAAGTCTTTGAAAACAAAATGGTATTAGAGCAACTAGAGATCCACATGGGGAAAAACTGAACCACAATCTTGACTCAACCTCAAACAAAAATTAACTGGAGCTAGAACACAGGCCTAAATGTGAACACTAAAACCTATAAAGCTTTCAGAAGAAAACGGGAGAAACAGTCATGACAACAAAGTTGGCAGAGTTCTGTAACACAAAAGGACACCAGAAAAAAACCCTAATTCCTCAAAGTTAAAAACTGCTCATTAGGGCCGGCCGAGTGGCACGTTTGTTAAGAGCTGGCTTGGCACACCAGCTCTGAGCAGCAGAGCCCCGGTTCGGAACCCACATGAGGGCCAGTGACACTGCCCTCTACAGCTAAGATGGTGAATAACAGCTCACTCTGGAGCTGGGCTGCCGTGAGTCGCCGGCGACGGCGTTGGCTGCAGCCCCTGCTGCAGTTGGCTGCAGCCCCTGCTGCAGTGGGCTGCCATAAGCTACTGTGTGTGGCCGGCAGCCAGCGTGAGCAGCCAGCAGCCGGTGTAAGCTGCCAAGAGCCACCGTGAGCGGCTTTCCAGAAGCCGGCGACTGATCTGCCTCATCCAGGAAGAGCGCAATGATAATACCAACATTGGCCAGTGAAGCGACGACTTCCACAACTAGACTGAAGAAAAGGACAGCAACTTATCTGTTCCCCTTTCCCAGATTCCCCAGCGCAGTTCCCCTCCCCCAATTCCCCAATAAAATCTTTAAAAAAAAAACGAAAAACTACTTATTAAAACACATTTAGAAAGTTAAAAGGGGGGACATTAGAATGAGAGAATATTTGAATATATGTATCTGACAAAGGATTTATATCCAAAATATTTAAAGAACTCCTACAAGTCAATAAAAAGACAAACAACTCAATTAAAAAACGCTAACAGGCACTTCACAAAACAAGATGTCTAAATAACCAATAAGCACATGAGAAAATGTTCGTATCACCGCTGTGCTCCCAGGTGGGAATGCAGGCACCTCCGAGGGGCTTTGGCAGGCCCACAAAGGCAGGGGCATGCTGGGAAGGGTGGGCCCTTGCAAGGCACCTGCAGGCTGATGTTGGGGAGCCCCCCCAGGCCCTCACAGACCACGATTCCAAAATGCCCCGTCCCTGAACAGTGCTTTCCATATCCTCAGATCAGACTGCAAATTAAGAGCAGCCGCCCGGTGACTCACTCTGAACCCACAGCTCCACGCTGGCCCCTCAGCCACCATGCTCCCTGTCCACGCACACCACGATCCCCCATCACCATTTGGTGTTTGACCTCAGATGTATTTACTGTGATCAAGTCACAACTGCTTCCCAGTGACTACATATCAGTCAGCACCATCACATTTTTCTAACTAAAACTATGTATTTTATCAAAAAATCAAGTTGTATACATTTTCCTGGAGAATTGTATGAATGGCTCCTGTCTTCTAACCCAGTTTCCTATATGAGAGATTTTACTATCAAAACTTAGTTTAAAAAAACAAAACTATTCTGTTCGTTTAGTCAATAAATATTTCCTAAGCATCCAGTGTATGCTAGGCAATCTTCCAGGTACAAGAGACAGAACTGTAGCAGGCAAAAATGGAAGTCCTTGCTCAAACTAATAGAAGTTAATATGAACTTTTGATATATGAGAGTTATTTAATATAAGTACTCATATTAACAAACTCAATGCTACAAACTGAACACAAATTGTAACGTTTTAAATTATTACTTTAAAGATATTTACCACCAGAGGGCACTCCCACAATTTTTTATGTGACTACTTGACAACTCCCTGCTATATGTTCCTATTCCTGCAAGCACGTCTGAAACAGAGCCAAATCTGAAACTTAAACAAAAGTGAAGTGGGATGGAAGTAATCTGGTCCCCAAATCCCACAGAGCCACCTAAAATGGCAACCCCTCACTAAGGTACCAGAAAGCTCTGTGCCTCTCCGGTCGGGCAGCAACTAGTGTGAGCAGGTGACAAGCTTCCCAGGGATCCAGGGCCCCGGCCCAGCAATCATCTCTGGAACCCTGATATGACCGAGGAAGCCAGGCATCTCCACCTCCCACAGTCTTGGTACCACTCCCTCCAATCTCTGAAAACCCATCCTCATACCACACTAATCCCTCGGGAGGAGGAGAGAAGGAAGATTTCCTCTCTTTCCTGCAGTGGGGGTTCAGGGAGACCCTGTGGCTTCTTGGGGTGAAGTTCCCACCTACTTCCCACCCAACACCTAGCCCTGTCATTCTATATGTCCTGTCTCATCGCCTCCCCAATCCCCATACCCCACCCCCTACAGAGGGAGAAAGGCTGGAAGGGATAAGGGGCTGGGTAAGAAGATGTCATCCCTAGACCCACCTGGTGCTCCGCACTCCGGAAGCAGAACACCATAAACCTGGTCTTGCGTGCCAGGTAGGGCCAGGGATGGGTGTGGAAGGATGCGGGATGGCCCTGTGATCCAAGTGCAACGCCCCATCCCTACCTACGCCCCATGGCAGGCAGGTAAGCACTGCCAAGCTGTCGTTAGGAAATCATCCTCACTCGGCTGATGGGATTAGAAACAACTCAGAAGCCAGGTTAGGTTGCTGGCATATAACATAAGAAGGTATATATTGTATGAAAGTCAGGCATGAAATTCGGGGATCTAACTGCAAAAACGCTACAAAAGTTTATAACCACTTGAAATTGTTTCAAGCAGATGTCCCACTGCAAATTATATATGCCTCAAGTAACAATGTGTGAGTTTAAAGCTCTTTGGAAGACTAAATATATACTCTTTATAACTTTGAAAGACCAAAGAATTGATAAACAAACCTGCATTGTGTGTTAAAACATGACCTAACCAAGCATGGAAATCAAAAGAAAGGATCTGCCAAACTATTAAGGAAAACGTCTAAAAAAATTCTTCCTTACCTGCCTCACTGGGTCTTTGAAGAAAACATGGACTAACATATCTTATTTTCCATTTTCAACTCACAACCATTCATTATTGTTTTTAGACCATAAAGTCTCCAATAACAGATGCGGTTATTAAATGGGTAAACTGGACAATGACAAAACCTATGTCCTTTTTAAAATTACTCTGACAAGATTTTTAGGTTAAGAAGATTCTTAACATTTTGGGTAAAAGAAGCTTTTGACGGGCTTCTGAAAACAATGGGCCCTCTCTAGAAGAATACATGTGAACTTAAATACAATACTCTTTAGCCCGTTTAAGAAGATTCAGACCTACTGAGGTCATCCCTGGACCATCTAGAGATCCACGGCTGCCCCCAAGTTCATGACTCCTAGAAGAAGAGAAGACTGCTTTGCTAAATATAAAGTCTGAATCTTAAATCTGAAGGTTCACATATATGTGATTATTATTCCAATGTTATTTAGGAAAAACATAATTCCAATGATGAATGACAACAGTACTGTATAACAGAGTCCTACAAGTAAAATAAGCTTACCTCAAAATTCACAGGCAAGTTCCGTTTAAGTGCAATCTCAAACACTTGACTTATTTCAGATTTATTGAGATTTTCTTCTTCTGATTCTCTTCCATTCACCTAAAGGAAGAATACTTGTTTAGTGGTTATGGTCAACTCTTATTAAAACCATCAACATCCCAGCTGTGATGATAAAACCTTAAAAGCACTGAACCTCGGTTTTACGGATTGAGCGCTAAACCACTGAACAAGGCCACACGCATGCCGCATGTCAGTGAATTTAAAAGGTTAAAAAAAAAAGTCTCCTATCACACTTGGGTCAGATTGTACCTCATAAATCCACCATAGACGATGCACACATAACAGACCTCTAGGTACAAATCAGCCTAATTGTGCTACAGCAAGATGGCTCGCTTTTTGCTCAGGAAGACTGACTTCCAAAGCTCCCCTCAAGGACTGGCAAGCCACATTTTGGAAAAAGTCAAAATACAGACAGATCTGTGTGGGACAAGGCAAGTTCAAATATAAGTCTCTCCACCTAAGTATGCAGGTTTCTCATCTGGACATAAAGTTTCTGAAAAGACCTCCTTTCAAAAGGATGCAGTTGAACAATTATAAAACTGCCAAGTATCTCATCCTTACTGCTGCTGGCAAAAATTCAAGGTACAAACTACTAAAGTCTCCTGAACAAAGGCTGGGATTCTATCTTTGTAAGGAGGTTCATTTATAGTCCTCCAGGCAGGGGCAGGACTAAACAGCCAAGACCTCAGTGCATGCTGATAACATGCCTGATTCCATGTTGTGCTGCAGTGATAACAGGAGAAATGAGATAAGCTCCATAACAGCAAAGTGCCCCAAAACATGGCAAGTGAGCTGTGCGTTTCCTCATGTTATTGGGATGCTTTAATAAAAAAATGTGTAAAATCCTATTTCCACGATTAGAACTGCCTGACAGGGTGTGCAGGACCACCCAGGATTTTAGCTGGTGTGCATATCCTTACGTTTATCAGGTGGATTCTACACCTACACTGGACCATTATTTCAAGTTGTAATTAAAAGAAATAAAACTTGAAGATAAAAAAAAACACAAAAACATTAACATAATCAAGAATATAGTCCTGTACAAGTAAATTTATCCCAGACACTATTTGCAATTCCTTCTCTTCCTTCCATAATGCTAATGTTTTCTTTCCAATCTGATTTCACTTCACTCTCTGCCTGGTCAAAATTATTTGCATAACATTTCTGGTGGTTTATTAATAAGCTAAACACACTTTTGTTCTTGTTGTTTAAATCCTAAGGAGAAAGAAGGCCTGCCTTTTTATAAGTGAATCCTTAAAGCCAGAAATCTTCAAGCAATGTGCATTATGAGGCTTGGGTTCCACAGAGGTTTTGTTTGAAATTTATTTGTTAAATAGGTTATAAACTTTAAAAAAAAAAACAAACCAATTTTTAAAAGTATGTTCAGCAAATGGTGCTGGGAAAACCAGATATTCACACACACACACACAAATGAAGTTAGACCCTTACCTTACACCATATACAAAAATGAACTCAAAATGGATCAAAGACCTAAACATAATGGCTAAAATTAGAAAACTCTTGGAAGAAAACATTGGGGAAAATTCACGACACTAGATTTGACAATGATTTCTTGGATATAACACCAAAAGCACAGGCAATAAAAGAAAAAAAATAAACTGGACTTCATCAAAATTAAAAACTTTTGTGCATCAAAGGACACTATCAAGCGAATAAAGACAACCCACAGAATGGGAGAAAATATTTGCACATCATCTATCTGATAAAGAACTAACGTCCAAAATATAAAAAGAACTCCTACAACTCAACAACAACAACAAACCACCCAATTCAAAAATGGGGGAAGGATTTAAACAGACATGTCCATAAAGAAAATATACAAATGGCCAAGAAGCACATGAAACCATGCTCAACATCACTGATCATTAGGAAAATGCAAATCAAAACCACAAGGAGATACCACCTTCCTCCCATAAGAATGGCCACAGAAAGTAACAAGTGTTGGTGAGGATGTGGAGAAATTGGACCCCTGGACATTGCTGGTGAGAATGTAAAATGATGCTGCCTCCGTGGAAAACAGTTTGTTGGTTCCTCAAAAAGTTAAATATAGAGTTACAATACGATCCAGCAATTCCACTTCTAGATATATAGTCAAACAGATACTTGTACACTAAAGTTCATATTGCGTTATTCACAATAAGTGAATAGGTGAAGACAGCCCAAACATCCATCGACAGATGAACAGATAAGCAAAATGTGGAATATCCATACAATGGAATATTATTCAGCCTTAAAAAGGAATGAAATTCTGAAACATGATACAACATGAATGAACCTTGAAAACAATATGGTGTGTGAAATTAGCCAAACACAAAAGACAAATGTCTCCTTATATGAGGTATCTAGAATAGGCAAGTGCATAGAGACAGAAGTAGAATAGAGGTTACCAGGGCATGGGGATGGGGGCAGGGAGAGTTATTATTTAAGGGGTACAGAGTTTCTATGTAGGCTGATGAAAAATTCTGAAAACGGATAGTGGTGATAGTTGTACAACATTGAGAATATATTTAATGCCACAAAACTATACACTTAAAAATGGTTAAAATGGTAACCTTTATGTTATGTATAGTTTATCTTAATGTTTTTTAAAGCAACAAAAAAGTATGTGTTTCACACCAAATATTAACACACAGGAGACTGTCAATACGTTAACTTGTGCTAACAGTTTAACCCATTTTTGTGCACAACAAGGTTTTTGGACAGATGTTCATTTGAAGAGTACCCAGGGATTTTTTTTAAATAAGCTCAAAAAAAAAAAAATAGTCCACTGTCATGCTAAGTAATTGTGTCGATAAGAAATGTCTTCCTTATGTGCAACCAAAACAAAATTTGGAAATAAACTAGGTGCTGAGGCTGATATAAGACACAATTGCCATGCATGTTCCCCAATTTTCAATTTTTTTGTTCATTATGCCAGCCCAATTAGTTTTCACTTTTACTTTTAATTGTGATCTACTTTAAACATATGGGAAAGTACAAATAATAATGTAACAGGCAACTGCTGAATTTAACAAATGTCAACATTAAGTACTATTGACATTAAATTTTGTTTCTTTTTTAAGGAACAGGATGGAGCCCTCCCTCACTCTCCTTTCCATGGCAGAGTTAACCACTAGTCTAAAATGAGGCTATATTTCCCAGCCATGTTTTTGTTTGTTTGTTTTTTTAACAGATGAAAACAATATATTCTGTGTTGTGAAAATTCACATAAATTATTTTAACTGATTGCTTTAATAAATATTATAAAATTCAAGCTTTCAAGTTCACACTAACAAAATGCTCCTTTTCTGTCTTATATATTGCGGTTCCACATAAGTCTGATAGAAAACAATGGTCTACTGCTAAATTCTAAACTCTAAGCCAGTGGCTCTCAACCACAGCAGCCCATTAGAATCACTTGGGAACTTTACAAACACAGATGCCAGATTCCCACTCCAGACAAGTGAACTCAAATTTTCCCAGGTAGGGTCTGGATACCCATAGGATGGTTTTTTTTGTTGTTTTTTTAATCCCCAGGTGATTTTTACTAGCAACCAGAGTTGAGATTCACTGCTCTAAGCCATTGCTTCCAAAGAATTTCAATAGGGACAAAGCAGCCAGTAAAATAAAAATGCAAAACAGGAAACAAAGATATACATTTACTTGGAAGTGAGATTATGTTGCTCTTTTACATAAATAATTTTGATATTATCTGGATTGGACAAAATGTTGCAATGGGGGAAGCAGCAAATGACTCAAAAACAAATTCACAAATGCCATTCCCAGTGAGATGGGGAAAGTGTAGTGGGCCCTTAGTCTTACCTTCGTGAAGTGGGAATTACTGTTAACACCAATCCCATAGTGTGTGGTTCAGCAATAAAATCTAGGCAACATTAAGAAAAGAAAAAAACACTCTGAACCACGCTTAACCCTCAGTATGCCAGGAAAAAATAGTCATCACCATTTATCATCTGGCTCCAACAGACCCTTTTTGTTTTTCTATATTTCAAGGCATTTTACAAATACTATACAGAATAAAGGATAACAAAAATCATTTCATTAGAGATTTTAATAACACAAAATAGCAAACCCAAGTTTTTATTCCAGGTTTGTAGTGTGGAAGGCATATGTACCTGAACAGGCAAGGTCTTTAAATGCAGCTAAGTGCTCATCAGCTGGCAGCCTGAACCTAGAGCAGAGCCCACTTGTAACGAAGCCAGATTTCAAATCCATCTGCAATAGGTCCAAGCTTATTATGACTGATTCTTCTTCTACTGGTATTGTCAAAACACACTATTTTTTAACGTAACTCACAATTTTGTTGAAGAGAGAACAGCCATCTTCTTTGTTCCATAAAACAAAATGCTTTCATTTTTAGATTTATAACCCCCAAAAGAAGGAGCAATCTAATATTTTTTTTCATCGTTATATCATCTATTTGTACATATGCCTCCTTTTGCATTTGTCCACTTATTTTGTGGACAACAGGTGATAAGAAATAAATTCTGGCGGCCAAACATCATAAAAGATGAAAGAATGTTGTCACACATACTTTAAAAAAAAAATCAAAACAGGATGGTTTGGGTTCATGTTGCAAAATATTGTGTGACGAAGTCCCTCCTATTGAATGACCAAAAGAGAAGACACATTTCCTTTTTGTGCCATAGAAATATATTATCCAATCGCTGACTCTTGAGTTTGAGAACTTATCTAAGGCATCATCTGAAGACTCACCGTCTGAGATTTTACTTAAACACTCAATCTCACCAACCCCACTAAACTCTCGAGTGCTGCTACCTGTCTCCTTGCATTCATCTTCTGATTTGTCTAATGACGGAAACATCTTCCTCTGTCAATTCTCTTCTCTTTGCCAGTACAGATGGAAAAAGAAAAATTCTGAATTTTCGCCTGAGTTCAATGAAAGCTAAAAGTAGAGTAAAAAGATAGTGTCTCTAGCCTTCTTTTATATCTTCTTGAAAGAATGTAATACATTACGCAATGCAACAAGAACATTAAAGGATGATGCAATAACAATTATT